AGTAAGATTGGCAGCCATTAGAAAGTCAAACAACAACAAGTGCTGGCGAGGATGTGGGGAAAAGGGTACACTTGTACATTGCTGGTGGGACTGCAAATTGGTGCAGCCAATTTGGAAAGCAGTATGGAGATTTCTTGGAAAGCTGGGAATGGAGCCACCATTTGACCCAGCTATTCCCCTTCTCGGTCTATTCCCTAAAGACCTAAAAAGAGCATGCTACAGGGACACTGCTACATCGATGTTCATAGCAGCACAATTCACAATAGCAAGACTGTGGAACCAACCTAGATGCCCTTCAATAGATGAATGGATAAAAAAAATGTGGCAGTTATACACAATGGAGTATTACTCTGCATTAAAAAATGACAAAATCATTGAATTTGCAGGGAAATGGATGGCATTAGAACAGATTATGCTAAGTGAAGCCAGCCAATCCCTAAAAAACAAATGCCAAATGTTTTCTTTAATATAAGGAGAGTAACTAAGAACAGAGTTGGGAGGAAGAGCATGAGAAGAAGATTAACATTAAACAGGGGTGAGAGGTGGGAAGGAAAACGAAAGAGAAGGGAAATTGCATGGAAATGGAAGGAGACCCTGATGGTTATACAAAATTACATACAAGAGGAAGTGAGGGGAAAGGGGAAAAAAAGGGGGGAGAAATGAATTACAGTAGATGGGGTAGAGAGAGAAGATGGGAGGGGAGGGGAGGGGGGATAGTAGAGGATAGGAAAGGCAGCAGAATACAACAGACACTAGTATAGCAATATGTAAAACAGTGGATGTGTAACCAATGTGATTCTGCAATCTCTATATGGGGTAAAAATGGGAGTTCATAACCCACTTGAATCAAAGTGTGAAATATGATTTGTCAAGGACTATGTAATGTTTTGAACAACCAACAATAAAAATTAATGAAAAAAAAGCTAGGAAAGAGATATAAGAAGGTTCTAGGTAAAGAAATATGTTTTAGTATGAAAGTGGAAGGAAAAAGAAATGTTTCTGGATAAGAAAGTCTTTTGTGTGGTAAAATAAAAAGTTGTAGAATATCTAAGTAAGTTGCAGAAGGTTTGTGGAGGGTAAATTTCATAAGGTTTGTGTGTAACTAAATTGGTTATATAAAATTATCACAATCAGTTAGTTATTTAAGTCTTTTTCCTAAGATCAAATATTAATGTACTGTTATAAATCAAAGTTTAGTCTAAACTTTGAAATATATTGAATATATATTGAAATAATATACATTTGTTGAAATAACTTATTGAAATAACAAGTAATTCCTTAAAACATTAATCTACTCTTATCTCTCAAGGTAATTTCTTGTGTCTGTTAAATTTTATTATTTAGAGAAAATAGTCTTAAATAAGTTAGAGTTTGTACAACTCTGGTTAAACAACTGTTATTTTAGAGTATTACACTACAGATTCTGAATTTTCCTAAATGTATTTGTATCTTCCAAGTATACAAGTCTTTAAAGTATAAGGTTTAGAAGAACATTTTACCAAACTGGGGTTCTTCAAACTAAAGTTTAAATTAAAGTTTTGGGTATGTTTCTTAGATCACAGCTATTATACAAACTAATCATGTTTTTACTCGTGTTAATTTCATTTTGTATTTTCCTTGTAAAATTTAACTATTATCTGTTAGTGCCTTACAAAAGTACAATTTATATATAACAACCTGAGTTAATCTGAGATAATAGGCCATCCTCTATGGGACAGACAGGATATAAGGCTAATGTCCAGCACTAATACTGACCCCAATTGAATAGAAGGGATAAACAACTGTAAAGTTATAGACATTAAATGTAAAGTCCAGTACTTTTACTTTAATACTGGTGAAACTGGCTTGCTGAATGTTTAAAACCAAAACTTAAAGACTAAAGTTAAGAAATAAATGATAGGGAAGGTCTACTCTTGCCGTAGTCCAGCTGGGCAAAGTAACCGAGAGGTGACAAGCAACTGTGTGGGTTGAAGCAGGAACTGCTTTATTGCAGAACAGCAGAGGTATATATATCTAACTGATTTACATAAAGCATGACTCAATCAGCATCATCCAATCATAGCATTGCTCCCCTACAGGTACAGCAATCAGCCAATAAGGAGTCCCCACCATCTTGATGGCTCGGTGGCATTGCCTCACAAACCATTCCTCCTGGCAAACTGCCAGGCGCCATCTTGACTTGGTCATGACCTCCAACATCCTCTTATTTTTCCCATATAAAAGAAACTACTCTAGGGCATTTTTTTCTAATGTAGATTAAAAGTTAATAGTTGTATTTCAAGTGACTGAAGAAGTTTGATAATGTTTCAAAGAAGTGTTATGGTTGATACAGCAACTATAATTAGTGCTGCCACTCTGTTGAATTTACCATAATAAGAGGCAACCGCTATGTACCATTGGGTTTTGCAAGATCTCAAAAAGTAAAGTGAATTGGAAACAATCATGTCTGTATACTTTAAAGTTTTGGGTAACACTAATCTCTGAAACTCCTCTGATAATATAACTTGGCTTCTGATTTATCATTTTGGCCTATGAAATTGGGGGACCCTGGTAATTTTGGTGGCTTTATTACTTGGCCCATCATATCACAATGGCTCCTACTATTCAAGTCAGGAGATAAATATGAGGATTCCACTTGTCCTCAAAAACTATGATTAACTCTCACCAATGTACACTGTCACCCTGAGAGACAAATAACAACCCTGCCTAGAACCCCTCTGTGACTTGCATTTAATAAAAGACTGCTCTGGCCTCCAACCACAACTCTCCTTGCATGTGTGTAGGGCCAAAAGGACATGCCCTTCAAAGCCCACATCACCAATTCAAAACAATACTCAAGGTATTAGGAGTATGTGATTTCCCACTCCCTTGTCCCCAATTAGCCTGAGCCCACTGCCAAAACCTATATGCTACTCATTCCCTATTTCTTTCCAGTCAAGAGTATATCATGCTGCTGGTGTGATACCTGAAAACCCAAGAGGACTTTGGCTGTGTAGAGGTGTTCAGAGTTTGGACCTGCATATTGGGGTGTATGCATATGAGTGAGTGAGGCCCCGGGGCGGAAAAATAAGAGTGATAGCTTCAGGCCAACAATTTCTATTGTATGCTTGCCCCACATCTTGTAACCTAAGTGGTAGGTAAGATCACCAGTCATTTGTCACACACCTTAGTGTTGTAAGTGCAAGTCATTTTCTCCAAAGGATAGTTCCCCTTCAAGTAACAGACTCTGGGTCTCAGAACTTATTTAGATCTGGAGACTTACAGAAAGATAAGGATTTTTCACTACAACAACTGTTATCAGGCTTCTGCTCACAGGCTCTCAATGTTCTGGTCATACAAGTCCAATAATAATGCCCTACTAGACTACTCACATGTTGCTCCTCTGAGAATGCATGGTCTATTAGTTGTCATTCTGTGGCTCAAAGTCCCCTCACTGTGACTCCAGCGTTGCTCTTCATTTTGTTAATCATGTGCATCTCCCCTCTGTCAGTTAAGTGCTGCTACCTGGCCTCTGCTAGTTCAGAATTGTTTGGAACTGACAGTAATTTGATGACACTGATAAATAGTTTAATGACAGTATCTTTTACTGTCATCCCAGACCAAACAAGAATAACCACCACTGAATTTCTGAAACATTCCCCTACAGTATTGCCTTAGACTCAAGCAAACAATGTGGGTCCCAGAATGTAGGGGGCGGGATGTGCTTTAGAGTGTGTTTCTCAAGTTTTTCTAAGCCCACCTGTGGTGCCTGGTACTTGCCAGGGCCAACAGTGCCATCCAGACAGAAAACACTGAATTTAGACCAGGAGCTGCATGGGCTCTGGCCCTGTTTCTCACATTTTGTATATTCTCCATTTTATTTATTTAGGTACCAGGGATTGAACCCAGGGGGGTGATTAACCACTGAGCTACATACCCAGCCCTTTTTTATTTTGAGACAGGGTCTCACTAAATTACTTAGAGCCTCACTAAATTGCTGAGGCTGTCTTTGAATTTGCCATCCACATGCCTCAGTGACCTGACTCACTAGAATTACAGGCACACACTACCATGCCTGGTGGATAATCTCTAATTATTAAACCTGCATGAAGAGTCACAAGAAATCCTGAAAAACTCAGTCCATGGTCAGATCTAGCTCCAGAAGAGTGGCCTGGTTGGTAGCCAGTTCACTTCCATTGACTAGGACAGTTTCTTTCATATGATCATATAAGGTTAGTTTGCCAAAATGGTGTTGATACCCTGTTTTGAAACTATTCTCACTCATGTCAGACATAGGACAAATTCAGAATTCTGAGCCTGTGATAGTCATACTTGGGTTTGAGTTACAAGTGTGACCCATTGCCTCTTTCATACACCATGGTTTTGAAATTCATCAATATTAGGGTACATATAAATATTTATTGCTGTTGAATTGTATTCCATTGTATAAACATAGCAGTTTTTTACTTATTCATCTACGATGTACATTTGAATGGTCTCCAAATATTGTTTATTATAAATAAAACTGCTATACACATTTATGTAAAAGCCTTGCACATAAATGTGAATACTGATTGTCATTTCTTTGAGATAAATAACTAGGAGTGGAATTGTTAAGACATACATTAAGTATATTTTTAATTTATAAGAAACTGCCAAACTATTTTCAAAACAGATGTAAATTTTACCTTACCATCAATAATTTATAAGAGTCCCAGTTTTTCCACATCCTTGCCAACAATTAATATGTCAGTCTTTTTTATTGTAACCCTTTAGTGTCTCTGAAGTACTTATTGCAGTTTGGAGTTTGACTTAGACCATGCAGAATTAATAGTTTCTGTGTTGATATAATGATTAGTATATGCAATTTCCAATTGAATCCAATTGTCTCATTGGATTTGGTGTGTGATGATGTTGAGCATCTTTTCATAGGCTTACTAGTTTTATATATATATATATATATATATATATATATATATATCTTTTTTAAAAATAGTTTTATATATATATATATCCTCTTTTGTAAAATGTCAAAGTTTTATGCCTATTTTTTAGTTGTTTGTTATCACTGAGCTGTAAGAATATTTTCTGTATTTTGACTGTAAGTCCTTTGTAGATACATATATTATGAATATTTTCTTCCATCCAGAAGTTTACCTTTTCATTTTCTTAATGGTGTCCTTTAGAAAGCAAGAAGTGCAATTTTCATAAAGTCTAATTTATCATTTTGGGGGTGAGTACTTATGTCCTCTCTTTCCCCATCCCAAAGTAGCAAAAACTCTCCTTTATTTTCCTGTAGAAGTTTTGTAGTTTAGCTTTTGTAGTTTAGCTTTTAATTTCATGACAAAATTCAAGATAATTTTTACATATAGTTTAAAATTAATGTTGAGGTATATGTTTTTAATATGGCTATCTGGTTATTTCAGTATCTCCAGTAAAATAAATTGGCTCCTGTTCTTAAGAGAGAGGAAACAGTAGATCATACATAGAAGGTCTATTCTGGATTGTTTATGCTGTGCCATTAACCTTTATGCTAATACTATACTAAGTTGAAAGCTATAGATTTAAGTCTTGATTTAAAACAATGCAAATCCTCCAACTTTGTTCTATCTCAAAATTGTTTTAGCTACTCTATGTCTATTTCACTTTCATTTAAATGTAAGTCGTCAGTTCCTATTTAAAAGGGAAGAAAACAGCTGGGATGTTGGTTAGCACATTATCAAATCTATAAATACATTTGGGGAGAATGGACTTCCTAACTATTGATCTTCCAATCCATTCATATTGCATATCTCTCTGTGTAGGTCTTCTTTAAAACCTTTTATCAATTATTTCAGCTTTTCACTTTACGTATCTTACACATCTGTTAAATCCTAAGCATTTTATCTTTTGTGATGCTCTGTGAAAGAAATTTTTGATTTTATATTGCAATTGTATATTTCTAGTATGTATAAATACAACTGAGTTGCATTCTGTGACTGTTGGGGTTTTTAGCCCCCGTTTCCTCCTGACCAGCAGGAGAAGTGAGGAAAGCACTCCCCAACCAGGAGGAGCCACGAAAGGTAAACGTCGGCTGGCGGCCTGCACCCAGCCCTCCCTCGCCAGAGGACAATCAGATGTGCCAGGGACACCAGTCAAAGCAGGATCTTGCTTAATGAGAAAACACACAGCTAATATAATTTACAGGAGCCAATCAGGATAAAGGTCAGCAGGGTGGGGAGAGGTTACATGTACACCCATCCTATAGGCCATAATGGGAGACATGAGCTGTCCACGAGAGCGGAAGGGTTCTGAGCCCTAGAGGTGGTCTGATTTTTCGTCACCACCGACAGCACCGCCTCCTGGCTGATAGCCAGGCGCCATCTAGCCACATGTGGCCCCAGGACCCAGAAGCGGGTAGCAAGCTAGAAAGTTAGGTTTCCTCTTTTCTGATGCAACATGCCCCACATGTTACATCATGCCCTACATGTGACCTTGATAACTTCACTTGATATTTCTAAGTGCTTTTTAGAAGAATCCTTAGGATTTTTTAATATAGACAATATGTCAGTTAAAAATAGAAACCTTTTCTTCTTTCTTTTCAATTTGATGCCTTTTATTTCTCATAGTTGCATTATTTTCTGGTTATTATTCCAATAGAAAAATGAATAGAAGTGATAAAAGTAGATATATTTGTCCTATTCCCAAGCTGTAAGCTGGAAACCTCAGTCTTTCCCACTAAGTATATTATCTTTGGCTTTTTTAGGGATTTATCAGGTTAAAGAAGTACTTCTATTCCTACTATGTTGAATGTTTTTATCTTGAACATGTGTTGAATATTATAAAAATCTTTTTCTGCATTTAATGAGATGGTCATGTGTAAATCTTATTCACTTAATACGGTTAACTACATTATAATTTTCAAAGATTAAACCAAGCTTGCATTACTTAAATAAACTCTACTTGGCCATATGTATGATACATATTTTTGTATTTTAATGGACTCAATCTGATAATATTTTATTAAGAATTTCTGAATCTGTGTTCATGAGGAATACTTGGTCTCTAAATTCTTCTCTTGCAAATCTTTGTTAGATTTTGGCATCTGGGTTACACTGGTCTCACTAGTTTTGGAAACACTTTTCTATTTTCTGAAAAGGTTTGTGTTATGATTGGTGTAATTTTTACATAATTTTTTATAGAAATTACAGATGAAATTATGGAGGACTTGAGTGTCCTTTGTAGAAAAAAATTACAAATAATAGGTCTTTAATAGATCCATGGCTATTCCAATTTCCCACTTCTTGAGTTACTCTTGAGAAGTTGTGTTTCATTTAGTTGTTAATTGATACAATTTGTTTTTAACATTTTTAAATTTTTCCACTAATATCCATAGGCTATGCAATGACATTCCTTCTCTTATTTGTGATGTTGGTAGTGTACAGATCTCTGTTCCTGAATGATCCTGTTAGAGTTTATCAATTTTATCCTTCAAGGGATGAATTTTAAACTTTGCTAATTTTTCTGTTTCTATATTGTAAATTTCTGCACTGATAATTACTTTTTCTGTTTGTTTTGGGCTTAACTTACTCTTCTGTCAGTAGCTCTTTAAGTGGAAATTTACATCACAACTATCATTCATTAAATATCATATACATACTTCAAAATACCATACTGAGTCCCATAAGTTTGTAGAACTATTATACTAATTAACAAATGTTTAAGCCTTACTTCTCTTCTTCTCATCTAATATAGGCATTTAAAGTTATAAATTTCCCTCTAACCATTGTCTTTGCTGTATCCCATAAATTTAAAAATGTTGCATTTTCACGAACATTCAAATCAAAATATTTCCTTATTCCTTCAGGATTTCTTCTTTCATGGGTTACTTAGGCCATGAGTTACTTAGGCCTTTGTTATTTAATTTCCAAATATTTGGAAATTTTCTAAATATTTTGATTATTTTTTATTTTGTTCTGCCCTGGCTATAGAATATATTCTGCAATATGAAAATTTTTGGAAATTTACTGAGAATTGTTTTATGGTCTAGTACATATCTGCCTTAATAAACATTCCACATGCACTTGAAAAAAAAATGTTTATCCCAGTTACTGATAATGTTTTTAGTCAATTAGCTCAAGTTAGTTAATAGTATGCTCAGATCTTTAGACCCAAACTAAATATCTGTCTACTTCTTCTATTAATTACTGAATGAATGGTGATAACATCTCCAACTACTTTTTCCATCATAGTTCTGTCTATTCTGGCTACATAAATTTTGAATGTTTGTTTTTAGATAAATATATATTTATGGGTGTTATGTTTTCCTAGTGAATTATTCCTTTTGTGATTTATAAATGTCCATCTTTCAGCTCCTTGTTACTTTATGAAATTTATATATCCACACAATTTCTTGTGCTATTTGCCTGGTATGTCACTTTACATACACTGATATTCAATTTATATCTTTAAAATGGAACTCCTATAGACAGAATATACTTGTGTGTTCCTATGGATCTAATCTGATGATCTCTGACCTGCAATTGGAACATTTTACATATAATGTTATTTAGTATAACGTAATTATGGGTATGTGTTCGCATCTACAGTCTTACTATTTGTTTTCCATTTGTCCCTTCTGTTTCTTGGTTGTGCTCTTTCACTGGTATTTTATTTCTATTTATTCTATTGTTTTCTTTGCTATTTTTAAATTAATTTTTAGTTTTCTTCCAGAGCTAACAATGCATCCTTAGCTTATCAGAATCTATCTAGAATCAAATTTTTATTACTTCAGGCTATGGATATAGGTCAGAACTTGCCTAGCATGTTCAAAGCCCTGGGTTCAATCCCCAGTACCATAGGGGGAAAATTTGTACTACTTCACATTTGACACCACTTTCTTCTTCCCACTTGTTACTTTACACTGGGCATATCTCTCCTGACACTGATACTACACTTCACAAATCTAATAGCTGTGATGCCCATTTGGTGAATTTTTCATTTTAGGTATGGTACTTTTCTATTCTAGAACTTCCATTTACTCTTTTTCAATGTTTATTTCTCTGCTAAGATTTCCTGTGTGTTGACTCAATCAGAGTACATTTTGTTTTAATTCTACAAGCAAAACTATTTGTTAGCCATTTTAAAGTCTTTGCTAAATCCAACATTTGTTCACATCTTTCTGTTTCTACTTACTAATACTTTTTTATTGACTATCACCCACTATTTTGCTTGTCTAGTAACCATCTACTGGATATTGTTAGTGATAGAGACTGGATTCTATCTATTATCTTCCTTTTGAAGACTGTTGATTCTTGTTCTAGTAGGCAACTCACTTAATGGCTAGCCATCTTCAAATTGGCTAGGTTTGATCTTATGTTTTGTTGTGGAGAACATGTAGAACCCCAACATGTTTCCCATTTACCTATAACTTGGCAGGAATCAACCTCCAAAATATGTTGCCTCTGCGGTCTTGTCATGGCTTAGTGTTAGGGTTTGTTGCAGTGGGTATAGAGTAATGGTGTTCAGTTAAAGATGATATTCTCCCCAGGTGACATCTGGCAATATGTTAAGACATTTGGGGTTGCACAACTAGGGTGGAGAACATTACTAGCACTCAGTGGGCAGAGGCCTAGAATGCAGGCCAAAACCCTACAACACACAGCACAGCTCCACACAAGGAATTATCAGGCCCACAATATCAACACTGTCGAGATTGAAAACCCTTGTAAACTATACTCTAAGGCACAGTCCTTATTTCTACCAGGGGGAATTAATGAGGTTTTGAAGCCCTCTACTCTGCCTGGAATGGACCTCCAATGACCTTCAGCATTATATGGTGCCTAATGTCTTTAGTATGTACTCTCTGGCAAGCCTCACATAGTCTTGCTCTGTAGACGCTATTTCTTGATAGGAAGGTAACATTACAGCACAAGGGAATAAGTGAAATAATGAGATTTTGTGGCTATTTTTGCAATTTAGCCACTTCTTTTAGTACTAATAATTCTTGGCACCTAGCATTTTCTTATTGCAAACATTTTTTATGCACTAAACTTAGTACAGAATCTCTGAAAATGTGTCCTTTATATGATGTTCATTTCTTTTATGGAATGTTATTGAATCTCAAAATACAGTTTAATATGGTAGAAAAAGTGATGCTTATACATGCCAACCATATGCCCAAAAATTTACTTATTTGATTAGGAATTATACATGTAAATATGAATTTTACTGCTACCTAACCCTTTGCATGTTTACCCCTACGACGGGCTTCTTACATTGAGGGAGTTTAATGACAGCATATTGTGATCAAGAACCCAAGATATAAGAGTGTCTAAAGTAAAAGTTTGAAGACAAAAAAAAAACTTATAATTTTCCCAAAAGAGTTTGATAAAGTACTGTGAATGAAATACACCATTCCACTTGAATCAAACAATGTATCAAGGCCCATCATAGGCACATTTTATCTCAAGCTCTCTATGGTGTTGTTTCTCTACCTGGAGGCCTGCACTATCTCACTACCTTCTCACCTGTCAATCCTTCCTCCCTCCTAAAACAAAAATCCACACCTCAATTCAGATGCCAGTAATAGGGATATTGCTTTCATCAATGCACCACTTTCCCAACCCATGAAACAGTTCTCTCCCTCTCACTTCACTTTCCTAATTAAAATACAATCAAAACAAAATGATTATGCTCACACCAGAAATGACATTTTCTTACTTGGTTTGGAATCTACTACCCTACCTGGTAAAACACAACTGTGCTTGAGTATTAAAAAAAGTGAGACAATCTGGAATAAATAGAAAGAACAATATAAATGGATCAATATTCGACAAATAACAAAAAGGCTATGTCTAAATACTGACTTATTTATTGCATTAATTTGATTTTGTCTTTTAACATAGTACTTTCTTTTCTGAGCAGACTATCATATATTCACTTGACTTTTGTGGATATTAAGTATTCTTGCCTTTTGTTTTTGTTTGTAAACTCAGAAAAGACAAGCTTACACATATACTTAACTTGCTTAGTTCAAGGTAAAAGAAAAAAAAACCAGTATTCAATTTCTATTTGATAAGAATAAGCAAAGCTTACCAAGGCTAGAAATATAGATGGTTATCTGTATAGTCATAATCCATACTTCATGAAAGAAAAAAAAACTATCAGAAGTCCACATAAATATTCTAAGAGTAACATATAAAATCTACTAAAGATGTAACAAAACTCTTTTGCAAAGATAAATATTTGCTTAGAGTTCACCATGTGCATGCTCACCTGGCTGCAAAAGAGCTACTTTAATAACCAGGATCAATATGTTATTCTTTAGGCTGCCATTCACTTTTTAAATATTTTTTAGATATCTTTTAGTTGTTGATAGACCTTTATTTATTTATATGTGGTGCTAAGATTCGAACCCAGTCAGTGCTTCACACATGCTAGGCAAACGCTCTTCCACTAAGCTACAACCCCCGTCCAAGTTTGCCATTCATTTTAACCATAAAATTGCATCTATTTCAATAAACTGGGTAATTTTTATGCTTTAAGAAAAGTACGACATCCTATAACTAAAAATCTTGAATACTGAAATTATTATTTTACCCTTTCTAATTGCATGATGCAGTGATTTTAAATAATAAATAAATAAATACATTTCCCAAAAAAGATTACAAAATGAGTAGTTTGTCTTAAGGCTCCTATTTGTTTTCCAATTACTTTTATTGATCTTATAGGCAGAATAGCATCTTGATCTCTTTATAACATTCAACAACACCAAAGATTTAGAATTCTGGTGTCAATAACAATAATTACTAAAAATCCAGCAAGCAATTGTGATAACAATAAAATAGTCTGTTGTTAAGACATAAATAGCCAACATAGCTTTAGTACCTCAGGCATTGTCTACTAATATTTATACAAATTTTGGAAAGTGAGAAGCACAGTGGCTATTAACCAATGATTATGAAAAATATGTAAAAGTGCCTATTTACCTAATATGTTCAACTCATCAGCTTGACATTATGTGCTGTTATCATTTACAAAGCATTAGAAATCAATATTAAACTTGCCTCAAGCTTTTTTGCAGATGAATAATCTTGATGAAGATACCCTCATTTCAAAAACTAAGGTCATTTGCGTTTTATCTTCCCTTGAAACATTTCAGAAGGCTGAACCTAATGAACTCCTGATCTTAGACTACTGGATGAACAGTGACATCTAGTGGACATTACATAGCTAAACAAATGTTTTTAAACAGATCCATGAAACAAGTGAGAATACTAGATGTCTCACCTTTAATATTGACACATGTATCTCTACTGTATAAGAAAACTGCAAACACTTCCTAGTAGATTCCTATGATTCAGTAATATATACTAAAAGAAAAGCCAATATTAGGCTTCCAATATTTATTCTTAATCAACAACCCTTTCACAGGAAAATGTTCCTTGCAGATTTTTATTAAACTCCATTTTTATGTATGTCTCAATTCTTGTTTCTAACAGAGTGACACACAGGAACTACTGAATAATCAATTCTATGGCTCTTTTGAACACAAGGATTAGAATGTCCCAGCAATAGACAGATTCAGACATCCCATGTGACAACATGGATGTGAAAAATTAAGACGTTACACAAGCTGCATGTGCACTGTTATTGGGCTGAGTTCATTCTGGAGGTATTATTGACTTTTTGTAAACTGAAAATATCCAATTTGTCAAGTTTTTATGATACAGCTAGATCATGGAATGGAATATAAGGTCAAAATGGAATTACAGAATAGCTTTACCATCAAAAGGTCACTGCTTCCCAGGTATGTCTACTTCCTACTCATAAAAGACAGTACGTTCTCTGCCTACTTGCCCAGCCCAGCTGAGACAGTCCATACAAGCTTTTGTTATCACTTATGAGTAACATAATGATGAACCTTAGCTCATCATCTCTGCACAAGCTACCCACCAGGCACCCAAAACTGCTCCCAAGGCATTGATGGCCAGCTCCAGAGAAACTACCTTCCTGGGCATATCAATGCTGCAGGTTCTATGGTTGTTCTTGGGAAACACTGGGACTGTCTCTTCTAAATGGACTACGGTATCCCCCAAAGTGACTGTATATACATGGCTGAACACAGGTGGGTATCACTCACTATATATTTCATGTCCCCTAAATCAACTACCAAGGATTAAGGCTTTACATTTCTCTTCCTCTTCAATTTCTTAAGGCTTGGTCAATGATCATAAAGAGATAAAAGGCCTAAACAACAGTTTGTATGTTAATGCACCAGCCTTCCCAAATGAAGAATGAGCATATCTGGCACTCATCAAAATGTCCACTACCCATCTGCATGCCATGCTGCTGATTACCTGGGACATTCATCTACATATCATTTATGTGCATAAAGATGGCCCAAGAGGCCAAGACCCTAGGTCTGGATACAATGGTCTACAGGAGTAATATCTCACAGGTGCCACGGAATTGGGGATCATAGGGAATCATTTTAACATCACTTAAAGACATGTAAATGCTAGACAGACATGTTCCAATGTATATAAACATGTTCATGTATATAAATAATCACTTAATCTTATTAAATCAATAAGCGTGTTCATAAGTACTCAAGGTCAAATGAGGTGCTATGTATGTAAAGTCTGGGGTTCTCTCCAACCCACAACACCCACCAACTTCCCAGTTTTCTCTTCTCAAGAGTTCTTAATTACAAGAATGTGTGTGTGGGTGGTGGCCACAAAAAGTTAAATGTGATGTTTACCAAGGAGCCAGGCAGCTGCAAGTGACACTGGAAGCAATTGGAGATTAGAATCAACTGCTGTACACTACGCAGATTTCATTCTCCTGTTTTTCCTTCTCCTTCGCCTCACTCATTTCTGCCTGAAGCTAGTAGGACAGGATGAAGCAGTGCTTTACTCTGTTGCTGTCTGGACCCATGAGTTGGTACAGAATTTCCCTAGTTTCTCCTGTAACAAGGATGACTTCTGAGTTCCAGGAGAAGATACTCTTAACAACTCAACACAGTATATTCAGAGAATCTCAGATTAAAAGCTATGTGTGGTCGTGGGCTATTATTATTGTCTGTTTATCATAACCTTCTCCCAAAAAGAGAATTCAAAACTTGAATGGCATTTTGGTTTTAAGGTCTATGTCCTACCTGTCAGCATTTGACGTATCTTAACCTTGCACTTGTCTTCAGAATGAATTAGTTTAGGTTTGCAAATAAGTCATCTCAATTACCAACCTACAAAAACATTTTCATAACCTCCTCTCCCCACATAAACTACTCAAAGAGTAAAGTAAATTATGCTTTTCACTAATTGCCCAGGACAATTCCTCACTGGGTCTGTAAGAGTAGACAAGGGTCTAGCTGAATGGTTGGATGAGCTGCCACCTCCATATCCCAACAAACCTAGAAATAATTTGGTCTGGGTCTAAGCGCTAATATCACGCTGCCAAGTCTCTTTCTGAAAAGCATAAAAGCAAAATATCCCACTCCTGCAAGCAAACCAACCACAAGGGTGGTGCCAAGAACTTTTGGGGCCCTTTTCTTGGCCACCCGGAATGCTGTTGGCAGCACTGCAGAGATTAATATATTGTTGACATGTCCCAAAACCTTGTTAAATGTTTTTCTCTTCAAGACACGCTCGTAATAGGTTTCCAAGTTCGGTCGCTTTCCATTTCCCCAATTCCTCCTTGCAAAACCCAGGAACTTCAATCGATGCAGTGTGACAGCAAGTGAGACATCTGCCAGGGTAAAGGCTTCTCCGCAGAGCCAAGGCTGGTGGCCCTCTTCTAATCAGAGAAAAGGACATGGAGAATTAGAGGCAAAGCACCGTATTAACAGACTCTACATGGTACCTGAAGTCTCAGCCTTAAGGACAAATGTAAGTGGAGCGAAAAATGAAGGCTATGGGGCTGGGGTCGTGGCTCAGAGGAAGAGTGGTCGCTTAGCATGTGTGAGGCACTGGGCTCAATCCTCAACACCACATAAAAAAATAATAAATTTTTTTTAAAAAATAAAGGCTATGGCATATTTCCTTGACAATCACACTAAGTAATTTTATGCTTTAAAAAAAAAAGTCCATGCAAATGTATCCCAAGCTAAAGGAGACTTGTTTAGACATCTGTCAGCCACCTAAGTCGTTAGGTAACATTGGAATCACTTGAGCTCAAAGCCATTCTATCATTTTGTAAAGGCCTCAGAAGTTGAAAGCCTGTGAACCAAAGGATTTAACAGACACTTCCTCCTGGAAGGAAAACACAGGTGCGCCTTAGAAAAATCATCAAGTTAAGCTTCAAACATCACTCAGGGACTATTGCTCTAGTCATAGTAAGCCCTTATTATCCACAGGCTCCACCTCCATGGATCAAAAATATTTGAAAAAGAAAACTGCATTTGTACTGAACAAGTATGGACTTTTTTCTTGATATTATTCCTTAAACAACAGAGTATAACAACTATTTTTATGGCATTTACATTATTTGACATATTACAAGTAATCTAAATATACAGGAGAATGTGCTTCGGTAATGTGCAAATACTGTATTATTTTATGTAAGGGATTTGGGAATCCAAGGAGTTTAGTGTCCTAATGGGCCTTCATATACTTATTGAAAGCAGAAGAGAGTTCCTATTATAAACAGGTTTCAGGAAACATGGTCTTCAACTCTGTCATCAGAGTAGCACAAATGGTCCATGTGTATACACCTGGGTGATGGCTTAGTCCTAAAGTTCACAGGTGCAACACATGGATGCTCACTGGTCATCCTACAGATACACACATGCTGGCTTCCACTTTACACTTTAGACTGAAAGATGTCTCCCTACCTAAGGAAAAAATCAGAAGGGCATTCAAGTAATTACTCAGGTTATTCAAACAAACTAACTACAAATGTGTAAAACAGGTTAGGGAGGAATCTCCCAACCAAAATACAAATGGTGCAGAAAAATACTTCCCCCGTCATATTTCATATAGACTGAGTTACAATTAGATACCTGAGTTCTTCTCAGAGCAACAGCACTGTTGTTATCATAATTAAATCAGCCCATGAATAATAACAATAAAAGAAAGATTATAAACATAACATGTTTGGTGAGATTTGTGATGTTCCTATAAGTACTCCTGATGTTGAAACAAGAAAAAGAATATAAAGGAGAACCTACCTGGGGTTTCTTCATTTCTTCTTTGCAACTCAGTTTCAACCTGATCCAAGACCTTCTCCAACTCATCAAGAATTTTCTTCAAGTATTTGACATTGTCATGATCAAGCAGCTTTGACTAATTAATAACCAAAGAAAAAAACTAAATAGGTTATCTATGCCTACAAAAAGTATCCACATAGCAAAAATTAGATATAAATTCTTATACAGAGATGGAACCTGTTTATTTTAGATAATGGAAAAAATATATAATAACTTTGTCAAAACCAGTGTGAAATTGCAGGGAAATACCCCAGCTGCGAAAACATCGCAAGACTAGAACCACAGCCCACTGGTCAAATGTTGAGGCACATAGAGCCTCCTCTAGTCCACAATGAAGAATCAGTTTGAGCAGCCTTGAGAGAATGAATGACCCAAAGGTTAGGAACAAAGCAGAAGTCTGAGTGAAGCAAGTGGACAGTAAGGGACAGCAGCTATGTGCACAGGCATTTCTCCTGAGGTGCTCATTTAGCTAAGAGAGGATAAAGGAAGGTGGAAATGGAGGGACAGTTGGGAGTGCTGCTGCTGTGACATCTATACTGTGGGAGAGTCTTCTATGTGTTGATGGGCCACAGGGAAAGAATCAACAGAAAGCAAAAGGAACTGCTGCTCCTTGTCAGGGGGCAGAGCAAGCCAGTGTCTGGAGGGACACAGGCCTAGAAATGGCTTATTGTATTAACTTCCTGTTGCATTTTATAATCTTCCATGGCAGCTAGCAATGTTGAGTATCTGCTTCCTATACAATCATCTCTTGGTTTAACTACCAAATGTAGTAATGAAAACTTTTTCTAAAAGAAAGCATAAGCTACAGGTAACACACACTGGTGAACAGCAAGATTTAATAGAAGATGTTCTACAAACAGTGAATGTCGACTGCAGACAGCATGGTCACTCACTTTGAGCCGTTTCTGTTTGGCAATGTATGCCTCCTGTAAATCAGGGTTTTCTTCAGCAAGTTTCTTCAATTCGGACTCTGTGTTACCAATTTGGCCTGATAACAGAAGCATTTTTGAGATTAGAAAAGTATTCTCTCCTTTCTGTACCAGACACAGGGGGAAGTGGGAAAACGCTATGGTAAAGGCATGAGCTCTGGGGCTGGTGCCCTGCCACTGCCTCAGACATGCCCTGTCTATGCCTCAGTCTCATCACCTTTAAGATGAGATAATGAGTACCTACCACACAGGCTAAGGACTGAGCAGCTCCCACAGGCACTTAGAGCAAGGCCTGGCACATTCCAGGGCTCCATGCACATGAGTTGTTCTCCCTTCCCGCACTTCAAGTTTCCATATGAACTTCTTTGTGAAGAGGAAAAGCCTTATTTTTAAAATATTGTTCACTATAGGTGATAGAATGGTAGTCAGAATGTGTGTTTCAAATCATATAATGAGTACTTATGAAGAGATAGAGTGGGGACAAGAAAAAGAGGGAAAGCAAGAAGAGAGGGAGAGGAGAAGAGGAAGGAAGTAGAGAGGGAAGAGAAGAGGTGTCAAAGGAGGAAAAATAACAGCATAAAGAGGAACGATAAAGGCAAGGTATGATGTGGTGGGAAAACATGGCTTCTGCATCTAGAAGACCTGGGCTTGATTGTTCCTAGTCAAACACCCTAGAGTTTGACCACGGTCACCATCCCTGGGCCTCTGTCTCCAGTCACTGGCATTATAGAGCATACTTCCTTCGGAGGCTCCACCTCCTGTGCACTGACCCTCCTCTAGCCTCATGGCAGGATGAAGGGAGAGAGCTGTATGACACAACTCAACCTCAATAAGTCTCCACTCACTGACTGCAGAGGCAATGCCTAGACACCAACTAGTCCAGCTCCCTCACACCATGAGATGATAATTATAGACCAGACATGTAAACTTAGCTGTTCATAATCCAAGTGGATTCCAGTTTTTCTGACTCCCAGTCCACCTGTTTTATAAGAATATGTGATGTTCTCTACTGTCACACAGGTCACTCTTACAGAGTTTTATCCAAGCTTGGCCCTCAAAGTCAAAAGCTGACAAATCAGGGCCCACTGACAATAAACGTCCAGCTACCTTGCAGAAGAGCAGATAAACCTGACTAGTTCTTGGATCAATTCAGAATATGCATATATACAAAGCACACTCAATAACCCTATTCCCTCTCAATGACCATGCTGTGTCTCAAAATGAATCAAAAGAAGCAATAAGACAGATGATAGAAATTAAAGGCATAAAAATAGGAAAAGAAGAACTGAAATTAGCACTATTTGAGGATGACATGATCCTATACCCAAAAGGTTCTACCAAAAAACTTCTAAAACTAGTAAATGAATTCAGCAAAGTGGCGGGATATAAAATCAACACTCATAAGTCTAAGGCATTCCTGTATATCAGTGACAAACCCTCTGAAAGGGAAATCAGGACAACCACCCCATTCACAATATCCTCAAAAAAAATAAAATATTTGGGAATCAACCTAACAAAAGAGGTGAAAGACCTTTACAATGAAAACTACAGAACACTAAAGAGGGAAATAGAAGAAGACCTTAGAAGATGGAAAGATATATCTTGCACATGGATAGGCAGAATTAACATCATTAAAATGGCCATATTACCAAAAGTACTCTATAGGTTTAATGCGATGCCAATCAAAATCCCAATGGCATTCCTCGCAGAAATAGAAAAAGCAATCATGAAATTCATCTGGAGAAATAAAAGACCCAGAATAGCTAAAGCAATTCTAAGCAGGAAGAGTGAAACAGGTGGTATAGCGATACCAGATTTCAAACTATACTATAGAGCAATAGTAACAAAAACAGCATGGTATTGGTACCGAAACAGGCAGGTAGACCAATGGTACAGAATAGAGGACACAGAGACCAATCCACAAAATTACAACTACCTTATATTAGACAAAGGTGCTAAAAGAATGCAATGGAGAAAGGATAGCATCTTCAACAAATGGTGCTGGGAGAACTGGAAATCCATACACAACAAAGTGAAATTGAATCCCTTTCTCTCACCATGCACAAAAATTAACTCAAAATGGATCAAGGAGCTAGGAATCAAACCAGAGACTCTGCATCTAATAGAAGAAAAAGTTGGCCCTAATCTCCATCTCGTGGGGTCGGGCTCCAAATTCCTTAATAGGACACCTATAGCACAAGAGTTAAAATCAAGAATCAACAAATGGGACATATTCAAACTAAAAAGTTTTTTCTCAGCAAGAGAAATAAATCTTCAGATACAGTGCTAATCTCCAGAGTATACAAAGAACTCAAAAAGTTAAACAACAAAAAAACAAATAACCCAATCAACAAATGGGCCAAAGATCTAAACAGACACTTCACAGAGGAGGATATACAATCAATCAACAAGTACATGAAAAAATGCTCACCATCTCTAGCTATCAGAGAAATGCAAATTAAAACCACTCTAAGATACCATCTCACTCCAGTAAGAAAGGCAGCCATTATGAAGTCAAACAATAACAAGTGCTGGTGAGGATGTGGGGAAAAAGGTACACTTGTACATTGCTGGTGGGACTGCAGACTGGTGCAGCCAATTTGGAGGGCAGTATGCAGATTCCTTGGAAAGCTGGGAATGGAACCACCATTTGACCCAGCTATTCCCCTTCTCGGACTATACCCAAAAGACCTAAAAAGAGCATACTACAGGGACACAGCTACATCAATGTTCATAGCAGCACAATTCACAATAGCTAGACTGTGGAACCAACCCAGATGCCCTTCAACAGATAAATGGATTAAAAAAATGTGGCATTTATATACAATGGAATATTACTCAGCATTAAAAAATAACAAAATCATGGCATTTGCAGGGAAATTGATGGCATTACAGCAGATTATGCTAAGCGAAGTTAGCCAATCCCTAAAAAACAAATGCCAAATGTCTTCTCTGATATAAGGGAGGTGACTCAAAACAGAGTAGGAAGGAAGAGCATGAGAAGAAGATTACCACGAAACAAGAAAAAGAGAAGGGAGGGAAAGGGAGGGAGAAGGGGAATTGCACGGAAGACAGAAGGAGACCCTCATGGGTTCACAAAATACATATACAATGGTGTGAGGGGGAAGGGAAGAAAAAAAGAGAGAGAGAGATAAGTGTCACGGTAGAATGAGTAGAGAATAGTGATGGGAGGGGAGGGGAGGGGAGTGGGGGATAGGAGGGCAGCAGAATACAACTGACACTAGGATTGCTGTATGTATACACATGGATGTATAACCAATGTGTTCCTGCAATCTGTACATGTGGAAAAATGAGAATTCATACCCTATTTGAATCAAATGCATGATATGTCAAGATCATTGTATTGTCTTGAGCAACTAATAAGAAAAAAAAAATGAATCAAAAGAAAACTTCAGCAGGGCACAGTGGCACACACCTATAATCCCAGCAGCTCAGGAGGCTGAGGCAGGAGGATCATGAGTTCAAAGCCAGCCTCAGCAACAGCAAGGCCCTAAGCAACTCAGTGAAACCCTGTCTCTAAATAAAATACAAAATAAGGCTGAGAATATGGCTCAGTAGTCGAGAGCCCCTGAGTTCAATCCCTGGTAGCCCCCGCAAAAAAAAAAAAAAGAAAGAAAACTTCAAACTGAATTCCAGGTCTTTAAAATTTTTACATACTGCGAATCCTTGTGGTTGCATAAGCTGGGATCATGGAGTCCACGGTCAGCTCAGGGTGTAAAATGCAGCCATGTGTATAGGCATCCATTGGCAAGGAGTCCAGAAGCTCTCGGTAATGTTGCACTCGCGGATAATACATGCTTCCTTTATCAGGCATTAACCTGGGTGTTCTTTCTAAAATACAGAAACATAAACACAAGTATTGAAGAAAAAGTTACAAATGTTATATCCAAAAGCAAAAATCCTCATCCCTCATCATTAACATTTCAACATTATATAATTACATTTAAAAGATTATGTCCCCAGTCCAGTCTGTTTGAAATAGCCTGATGCACTAGACCAGATTCCTAACCACAATCACACTGACATCCTTTCACTTCTCCACTTTGCAAACTGCTGCTGAACCCTCCAAGTCCAGTTCTTTACTCCACTTGCTCCATGAAGCATGCCCAACCTCCTGCATCTATCACCCATCAATTACCTCAGGTGTGCCTTCCTCTACATATCCATAATACAGGCACATACTCTTATACAGAAGTTATCACTCTATAAATAGTTGTATCTTTTTGCATCATGGACATCTTCCTGAGAAGAAACACATTTTAGGCCCTCCACAAGTGAAGGAATACTCACTATGGGAAAATAATCAACCAACACTAGGAGTGACCCTACTAATACTATATAAATATTAAATGACAATCTGAATAGAACAACAAAAGCCTTTGAACATATACCACAGCTGCACTTTCCCTAGGAATATCTAATATCTGGAAAGTGTGTTCCACTTGAATCTTCACTTGAGGGCAGGTTAAAATCTAGACTGCAGATTCTTTGCAGGCAGAAATCATATATTGTTCTCTACTAAATCCCTAGTGCCTAATATAATGTCTGATACAGAAGGTGCTCACTAACTTATAATTAATACTTTCCCAACTTCCAGTTATTTTAGAATATTGGAGTTCAAGAAAGAAGCTCTTAAGTACTTAGTGAAGACAGTGAGATATAGAGGCTGAGAAGTTCTCCCAGGATCCCACAGCTATTTAGAGGCAGACCAAGAACTGAAGGCATCTGGTTCCAGTGAGATGTAGTGCTCTATTTTATGATATTATTATAATATCTTCAAAGGATTTAGAGACTATCCAGAAAGAATAATAGTGACATCCCAAATGTCAGGAATATGTCCCCTCAGAATCATTTCCCACTGTTTCTTAAACCATCCCTGAAAAACTACCAACCAGCTTATTCTGCCTAATGAAAGAAACAGTCTCAATGTTCTTCATATATTGATTTCTTAGTTTGCATTATCTATTTAATTTAGAATTCTTCTGAGAATCTCATACTCATTCATAAATGTCAATGATTCATAGTTGGTTGCCATCAACAGAGCATTTCAGGCAAGATCTCCTAATGTCTGACCAAGCAGAATAAGCTTTTTAAAATAGCAGGCTATTTCTGACTCTAAGAATAAAGAAGATGGATTACTCTTCAAACCAGCAGACAAATATCTAATTCCCTGCTGGAGAGTCCAACGCTAAGGGCTGCATTAGAATAACCAAGAATGAAGTATCAGCTATATTCTGCTCCTCCAAAAGATTACCACACCAGAACATACTGCAATACTGACCCCACATGGAAAAAGGGCAGGTAAGTCACCTATGACACGGTCAGGCTCTCAACATGGAGGATCTTACAATTAACTCCTTGGGTTGACTTCTCAGGACCTCTACAGTGAACATGCAATGCACCAGGACCCAACTAATGCATGGTAGTCATTTCCATGCAGACCACAGATCCCAGGCCTTGAAATCTTAAGGAATTTTTAGCCTCTCATTTACCACCAAACTCTTCTCAAAATAATAGTGTTCTTAAATGCATAGAATACAAAACATGGGATTGCAAAAGATATTATATTGAAAATAACTTTAAATAATAAAATACTAATATGCATGTCTCTTTAACACATTAATAAGATTTAGCAGCAGGTCTAATAACTATCCTAATTTTTTAAAAAATTAAGATATCTATAATAATTTAATATGCCATGAATGGATCTGATTTTCATTGTTAACAAAGTCATAAGCATTCTTGATATTGTTATGGATTATATCTAATAAGTAATGAAAGGAAACAATAGATTCCTGTTAGAAATTAGTAAAAATAAAGAAAATTTTTTCTCAAATATTTCAACTCTCCTAAATTCTATTCCTAAACCCTTAAGGGCAACATTTTCCACATATAGACTAAGGGTCCTTGGGTTTCCCCCAAGATACTTTGCGGGGAATCCACAAAATCAAAGCTACTTTTTAATAGCAACACTAAGATGTTGTTCGCTTTTTCACTCTTGCTGTTTCTTAAGCATAGGGCAGAGCTTTCCAGAGGCCACAGGAAAGGTGATTACTACATCACTTTGACAACTAGCAGGATGTGTGATTGAACATTTTTAAATTTTCTCAGTTTAAATTTCTAAATATAAGTATTGATAGAAATGACCCACATAAACAAAACTCTCGGGCATCCTCAATTATTTGTAAGACAAAGGGATCATGAGACCAAAAAAGTTTTAGAACCACTGCTTTATGGAAGTCAAAGATCCTCAGGTTAATAACCATAAACAGCACAACATTTTCAAATGCTTCCCAAATGTCAAATTGATGACTGCTGGCTCTGGCTGCCTCTGGTGCCAGGCCCTGAAGCATTCTCCAGAACAGCATTCCACTTACTTCCCAGGAAAGTAAAGGAGAGAAGGAAAAACAAACGTCCAATTGCTTCCATCTGCCAAACCTGAATTCTTCATAGGAGAACAAATGCTTAAATTCATGAAAATAAATTTCTTCTTCTCATGCCTTTGCCGCCTACTATCTCCTAAAGTACTCCACCAGACACAGCGTAAGATGCCCACTGCATCCACACTTTCTACCCATCTCCCTTTTCTCCCCACATGCTTCAAGGATGTCCATTCCAACATCACACAGGCAACCTCCTCCTCACCCCAGGGCACTGCAGCATCCACTGCCTCTGACAACAATTTTTCAAAAGACAGCTGGGAATTTCCTTTGAATTATACAAGATATCTTCCCTCCCAAACCCATTCTATTTTAGTTTCCAACTCTTTCATTGAGCATCTTGGTTATATACAGTACACAGAGGAAGGGCAGGGAATCAGGGGAGTTTTCAGAAGCAACTGATGAAAGGAGGTCCCAGTATTGGGGATAGAGGTTGCACAGCAGGAGCCAGGCTTGGTGACTGCAAGAATAAATCAGGGTTGGGGTGTAAGCTCAGATGCAGGATATGTGCTCAGCATGCACAAGGCCCTGGGTTCAATATCCAGGACCACTACCAACAACAAAAAGAATAAATAGATAAATTGACAGAAGACCAATTAAATAAGTGACAAGACAGGTCTTGTATTGTACCTAAATTAGGTGGCAAATTAGAAAGATGCCAATAGAGAAAAAGCAGAGTTCCTATAGCAGAAAGAAAGATGTGATAACAGCAAGAGAAACCAAAAGAATGGGGGGGGGGGGTGGAAACAACAATAGAAGCATTCTGCAGCCATTTAGTGGAAACAAATGGCCTGTATGTGAGCCCCTGTGCCCCTGTGTTGCTGAGTAGAATAACAATAACAATAATAGCTCTGGGCTATTTAAACAAAAAACAAAAACTACATTGGGTTTTCTCAAGGGCAAAAATGAAAAAAGTTAGGAGTTTAAAAGCGTAAGTTTCCATTATTCTACTAAATTAACTGGTCTGGTTTCCTAACATCCCTAGTGACAGTGGATAAAGCCATTATTATGCCTTGTTTTCAAGGAAGACACACCCCTCAGGTCTATTTTAGTAACTTATCCTATCTTCCTTATTAGATTAATGAAAACACATTAAAATTCAAATCTAACTCTATTGCTTTTTTTATTGCATAGTGGGGGCATGAGTATATACATAAGTAACTGAACAACAGTATAACCTTCAATTAGGCATCCATCAAGCTATTTAAACAAGTCATGACCTGAAGCAAAAGATATATGGTTACAAGCTGACTAAAGACTCTCATCACTTTGGTACTAGAAAGATTAAATCTAAACACAAAAGAGGAAAAAAACACTTGGTGTCAAATTATGTGAACTCACGATATGCCTCCAGGGTTTTCTGAGACAGAGACAAATCTAGCATTTATTTTTCAAAATAATTTATACATTATATAGTAAATGTTCAACTACTTTGATAGGTATTATATTTAAGACTTTTAACAGAAACATTTGCAATGAGAGGGACAAATATTACTTGTGCCAACTGTTGGATACACTTACAGAACTATGGCCTCTGCACTTCAATATCCCTATCTGTCTGCTAAAATTGGACAAATCACAAAAGTAAAACAATGACTTCTTTTCAAGCAACTTTTATTGACACAATCATTAATCTTAAAGACTCATTTTCTGTTCCTTACCATTTTCTCCAGTTTGTGTTAATATGAAGCTTTCAGTAAAGGTGCTAAAAGGTATATGAAGTTATTCAATTATTTAATTATATATGAGAATTATATACGAAAACCATTCACTGATAAGCATAATATCATTTTATAAACCTTAACAACTGGCCTTAAATATTTTAATGTAACAATTACTTCAAAATTAATGTTTTTTAAAATGTTATGCTTGAATTTTAATATATACTGTATTTATAAAATAAATTTATATTTCCTGGTCAGACTTATATGTTATTCTAATATCAGACCAGGATAGTTGATTATTTCAAAAGCAAATTCAATTTCTAAACACTTTAAATGATATAAGGCACAGGATATAATTTTCAAATTATAACATATTAAATTACCAAAACTCAATATTCATCATATATCATTGATTCTAGCTTACCATTCAGTTATTTGGCATAATAAATATCAGATGTTCTAATATTTTAGAGTAACTTCATACTCGCTTTTTAAATCTAGTAGCCAAATTAAATTTTATTTGAAGAAATTTTGAATAGGAAAAAAATAGCCGGATTTTAAAATTCTATTAGTGTGTCCTTGTCATATCCTGTTCCTGAGTTTGCCTAATTTACTTACTGTCATACCTCATCTAACTTAATCAATGGCTTGCTTTAATAGACTTATTCATTACACACCTGCACTGAAGAAGATATCAAGTACATGAAAAACTGAATAGTAATAATAGCATATGCATATATTAAAAACAAATTAGGAACTTTTATTGAACTTATAGGAAAAAAATATTTGAAGATTAATAAGCTTCCAATGATTTGGGATCTCTGAAGTATGCTGGGACCTTGCACCCAATTAATACCCAATAAATGGCTACTGAAAGAATGAATGAAAGGGGAGCACTAGGCCAGCTCTTAATTGAGTCTGTCTAAATTCCTCCTTTGGCCCAAGTCTTGCCTGGACAATACCAGTCATGTCTACATCCTTCCTCCATGTGTATGCTTTCCAAAAACAAAAAAAAAATAATAATCAAACATAGCCATTAACCAATTTATATATACACGATTTTAGGCTAAGACTTGAAAAGGATTACCTTGACTCTCATATTTCTCCCCTAAAACTATCCATTATTTAATGGATCATCACAAAAGCACAAGGATATAGACATGAATAGTGGTACACAAAAAGGTCAAGCAAATCCTCATTTTTAGTATAGACCCCAGTTGACAGAATAAAAAAGGAGAGCAAAGGACAAAAGGGATACTGGTTCATTATATGCTGTTGTTCTTTAGAAGAACGGCCACACCAGCGTCTCCTCATCACACCTCTTGAACCACATCCGCTTATTATCATTCTGACATGTCAACATTCCTCAAAATCCTATCCATACCTAGACAAAATGCCAAATGTTCTGACCAACTTTGAATGCAGAGGATTACCACCTGTACAGTCCAGATAGAACCTGAGATCACACTAACCTTTTGTTTCATTATCCATCCTTAAGTCAGCTGATTTTTAAAAACAAAATTTATATATTACATTAGCCTCATTAAAGTTTATCTGAGCTTTTTTTTTTAATTCTTATTCCATCAGAAACATTTCATAAGATGGTCATCATTTTAACCATTTTAGATTTTCTGTCATTCACATATGTAATAGAATGTCTTCTATGTCTTTATTCAACTCATTTATATGATTTTCAGGTTCAAGTCAGAGAATAGAAGACTATAGAATACTAGGGTTGGGGGTTGAGGCTCAGTGGTATAGAGGTTACCAGGATGCACAAGACTCTGGATTAAATCCCCAGCACAGCCAAAAAGAAAAGAATGCCCTAGAGATCCCCATCCAGACTGACACCTATTTCAATAATTCACTCATTTTAATCATTCAAAAGCATTTTAAAGCATCTATTAAAAAGCATTCACTTGTGCAAGGCATTGGGAATACAGTTTTTAATAAGATAGGCATTGTCTCTGACTTCATGGTGCTTACAGTACTCTATAAGTCATTCACATATTTAAAATAAAGTATGATAAAAATAATCATAAGTAAAATAAGAGTCCATAGCTAGAAGGGCAACCTGGTATAACAAATCTATAAATGAATATCCTTCAACATGGTAATTTATTCATCTACAAATGGTGCATTACTATCATCTAGCTATATCTGTCTCTTTATCCCACAAGGGTATTGTATAAAGTGATCTGAAATGCTCTACTTACATCAAGATACAATGTATCTACAACCATGGCTGGTACATAATAGACACCTTTTTAAAATATGTTTGTCACATTCTCAAGCCATGTTGAGACTTAAGCTAGTTTCTTCTACTGAAAGACCCAAAACTTTTAAAACTATATTTTAAAAACCCTTGGCAATTTTATCAGTTGCAGAGATACAACAGATCCAACCAACTCTTATTTCACTCTTTTCTCTTTCCCAGGAGAGTAAGTATTTAATTGGAAAGGGGGGAAAAAAAAAAAAAACATTGGCAGTCCATTCTAGAATTCTGCCAGACTTCAAGTCAGTAATTTACAGCAGTGCTTAAAGCTTCAACACAGTAATTTACAGCATTATTCTCAAACTTTAATGTACATATAAATCACACAGGGTTCTTGTTAAAACAAAGGTTCTAATTCTGTAGATCTGCTGTGAGATTTACAGTGCTGCATTCTAACAAGCTCTTGGGTGATGTCAGTGCTGCTGGTGGATGCAACACAGTTTAAATGCCAGGATCATAGGATTCCACTCTCTCCTTTCTTTTAACTGCTGGGATTACGTTTATCACTTGTCTGGCTCTTTTCCTATTTCCCCATGAGTTCTTAAAGATAAAAATTAAGTATCTTAATTACAATAGTGATAACACTGAAGTGTGTTTTGTTTTTTTTAATTCCAATACTCTGAGGTAAATTTCATCTTGACCTTTCAACTGGATTAGGCTTGATTTATATGACTATTGCTCTCTTTCTGTCTTTCTATCTACCATAAATTATAGATCCCTTAATCTTTTTTTTTAATCCTTTCCAATTGGATACTTACCCTCCTGGGAAAGAGGAAAGAGTGAAATAAGAGTTCATTGGACTTGCTTTATCTCTACAACTGATAAACCTGAATCACCTAATCTAAAAGGCAAATAGAGAAATTTAATCACTAAAGGTATTCAGCAACTTAGTAGCTGCATCAGACTAAAAGCTGGAACTCTTGGTTGCTTTCTTATAAAAGCTCAACCAGAACAAAGTCTGTAATTCTATATTTCCATTCTATCATGTAGTTCAGAGTAACCTCTCCTCTATTTCAATAAGCAATCATAAAAAAAAACATGGGTTAATTATCTAAATATAACTTAGCAAGACCCAGAATGCATTTCATTTTTGTCATTATTATATGGTAAAAGCAAAAGAGAAAGCCTAAGGAAAATTTTAAGGAAACCTAATATCAGTAACATTCCTATGTTATAAAATATCATTGTAGAATTTCTCAGAAGGAAAAACAGTATAAGGAGGAGAAAAAGGAAGTGCAAGAGATGTGTAATATGACAGTAGTAGTAGTATTAGTTCATCAACGCTACCAAAAAGATTTAAATATGATTTTCCACTTAAAGATTTTTATCATATAAAACAGAATTCTTACACATTTTTTGTTCATTAATATAATCATTTCTCCCAAGAAATACAAATTATATTAACAGGCTTATCCATTTCCAAAAAGCTTAAGGTTGAGAAAAATTGTCAAATCAGTCACTATTTTCAGTATGATTCCCAGCATATAAGCAACAACAAATAATGGTGAAGAATAAGTAGTTCATGAAAACATTTGATTTAGGCCAAGGTCACCTTTAGTCGTCCAATCAGAATCCAGAATCTAAGAAATTAAATTTTAATAGTGGTATCTCCTTAGCGAGTGTGTGTGTGTGTGTATATGTGCGTGCGCACATGCGCGCCCGCGCGCACACACACACACACACACAAATTAAGAATAGGGATTGCTCATCTAAGTTCTTGGGCTTTCCCATCCTCCTCATCTAGGTCTCATACCCATTTTCCTTCTGGATGCCTCAGATAATTCTTGGTCTGGTAATTTCCTTCCTCAGTTGCTTCTAATTCGGGCTTACATGCTGGTTTCATCCTACGAAATTAAACATTAGCATAACTAGTAGTAGATGAAAAGTAACAGGATCTCAGTTCTCTTAGAAGAAAACTCAGCTGAAAATTAGGAGCCCCATGCCCTGCCCTCAGCTCCACCATCGATCAGCAGTGTAATCTTGGGCAAATCACTGAAGCCACAGTTCAACTAAAAGGGTTGTAAGTGAGAATGTGTAAGTGGCAAAGACTATGGGAAACAGCCCATTTGGTATGAAGGCAATGGCGGCCAAAGACCCTGCTATAAAATGGCTATATTGCCTTGGGTAACCCTCTGTTCCTCTTTCTTCATGTACAAAATGGTAATAATTAGTCTATCTTGCCTGTCTCAGATAGGTTCATTTGATGACTGACTGAAATAGAAACTATAAAATGTTTGATATATAAGCTATTAAATGACTATTACTGACAAACACTATACAAATTTAAGCCCTATTCTGTTTTTATAAAAAAAAGATTTAAAAAATTCCAACTATACAAAAGTACTAGGGCATAGAAATCGAAGTACACTAATGTTCTATTCTACTTTTTCTGAGGTTTATTCCTCTTTTTCCTCTTAAGATGAAACCACTTGATAGATTGAATTGGTTTTCACAGTGTACATTTAGAATCAGTATTCTGAATTTGACCCTAAAGCAATTAAATCACAACCACAAGCCACACACCTGCGGGGTTTTTTGCAAATAGATTTAAAAGAAAAATTTTGACATTAACATTTGTACTTTAAATGAAATTCTTTTAAACAGAGTTTATGCATACTGGTTTATGCAAAATTTTTTATTGACCTATATTATTTGTTATTGACCTATATTATCATATAGATAATATTATTTGTTATTGACCTATATTCGTGTGCTTATGGAAATGGAAAAGGTTTTTAATAACTAAAACCATAATGGAATGAGAAAGGGGAGAGAGAGAGGGGGAGGGAGGGGGAGAAGGACTGGGGAGAGAAAGAAGGTGCACATTTGTGTTGAGAGTAAATCCAAGAAATCACAAATAGCCTTAACATTACCATCCAGGAAAGTCTGTTCAAGATAATCAATGATCTGAGTGGCCTCACAAATTATGTTTTCCCCGTGGATAAGGACAGGCACTTCTCCAGTTGAGTTCAAACGCATAAACCAAGGCTCATTGTGCTCACTCAGGGGCAGACTTACATCATGTTCCTCGCACTTCAATGCCTTTTCAGCAATTACCAAACGCACCTGGAAGAGTTCACAAGGGTTACAGCAGTGCAGATAAGCTTTCAGTTAAATGACTTCCTGGATACCACTAAGCAGCCTTGCTGGGCTTCCAGAGATATTAACATTTTAAACGTTCTTTATAAGGATAGCTATTCCTAGAACGAATAAGTGAGATGTATTCCAGGGCCCTACTCTTAAAAAAAAAAAAAATTGAGAAGACAAAGTACTGAAAATGATTCTGTCTGTATTGATTATAGTCACCCTTCCCATCACCACCACTTTATGTCCTAAACCTCATTATGGGTCCTCCCCCGACAAGAAGTTGAAGTACAGGTATCCTGGGCCTTGATGGAGAGAGTGAATTTCAGGAAGAGTGAAGAAGGGAGGGTTAAAAAAAAATGTAGATTATTAAGCGGTTGAATTAAGGCGCCTCCTCTGCCTGACTCCACAGGGCCCATTGCGCAAGGTCCAGAGAGGCCTTTCAGATTCTGAAAGTGATGCTTTCTCATTGCACGTCATGACTGGCAGTGTTGGGTCACTCCTTTTCCATCCCAGACCGATTCTCCCGCCTTTTCCCAAAGCTCATCCCAGCCCCGGAGCGCGTGCCCGCCGGGTTAGGACTCCGGAGGCGGGTTTCTGGGTAGGCCGGCGTGGCCCGGCGACACCCAGCGGGAGCTGTCCCGGTGCTGAAACCCGATCCGCGCGGCCCCAGGCAGCCGAGGCCTGTACCTTTTGAGAGCTGAAGGAATGCGTCCAGTGGTACAGAATGAGCTTAACCTCCGCGTCGGACTTGCCTTCCGCCATCAAGGGCGCTCCCGCCCTCTGCTCCTCCTGCCTCCGAGCCATTGCGGAGAGCTCGAGCGCAGGGAGCCTCGCCCGTCCGCCCGGCGCTTCTCCCACCCACGCCGCCTGGCGGAGCTTCTCTAGGTTTGCCCCGACGCCTGGCGGGGTGGGGTGGGGGGACGATGAAGAGACCTCTGGGAAGTGTAGTTTTCACCCGCGAGAAGCTGCGGGGCCGAGGCCGCAGGAAGCAGAGGTCTGCGCGCGCACGAGGGCCTGGAGCGCGGCAGTCAGCTGGGAGGTGCAACCAGAAGTATTTTAGGTTAAAAAAAAAAAAAATCTAAAATATGAGTCCCTGGTTATTACGGTGAGTAAGGGAAAGATGGAGATAGCAAATTACTCATTGGTTTTGGAGGTTGTTTGGGTAGAAGGGAGCAGTTTCCCAAGATACTTAGGGCTCTTTGGTGGAAAGGAAGTTCCGGTGACAGATTAATCAGGACCAATGAGTTTTCACTAGAAGATGCTCTCATGAAAAAGAAAAAAGAAAAAAACATAAACAATGGCGATGTAAAACAGACTAGTTGTTAAACACAGAATTTTACAACAGAACTACCTGGAGTTATGTCCTAGTTTTTTCTTTTTCCCCATTTTTGAAGTGGAGGTGATTTTATTTTGCTCATGCAAAATTTGTTATTGACCCATATTATATTCGTTTTTGCAAGAACTTAATACATAAATAAAATGTTAAACACTCAGCTGGCACGTTGTAGACACGTAATATTATTCACAAGCTTAGTTGCCTTATAAAAATCTCTTTATGGTCATAGGCAGAATCATGCTTTCATACTAATTATTATTGTATACCTCTTAAAATTTGGCATCATAGTAAACTGGTAACATTTTTAGTAAATACACATAAATAGGATCATGAAATAAATCCCTGTGCAATTTGTGCAGCAAACATTGAGTACCTACTATTTTCCAGGTATTTCACTAGATCCGGGGAATACAGAGTTGTGCGTGACCTGAAACCTGGCACCCAAAATATAATTCTGGTGGCAGAGACAACAAATAGGTAACCACAATAAAAATTAAAACTGTCTTAGGGCAAGCACAAGATACTGTGAGAAAGAAAGGGATGGTGCCCAGCCCAGATAGGAAGGGCCCCTAGGAGACACAAAAATCTCCTGAGGTTCTTCCAAAGAGTGCAATAAAGACAGCACTTCATTTGTTCCCTGTAATTTTTACAATTTTAAAAGATTTTATATTGTCTTCATATATTCTTATATTAATTGAAATGCTTCAGCAAAAGTGATCTTGCAAAATTTGTTTTTTAAGTAGGTCAGTGCCCCCACTTCACCCCAGGCCAGGTGCTGGTATTGAGTCTAGGTCCTCAAGGATGCCAAGCACTTGATCTACCATTGAGCATCAGTTTACTTTAAAGTAGAAGGGGAATGAACAAACTTTGAAATTAGACAGAATAGAGTTTAAAGTCTGTGGTCACCCTGGCTTGATGTCTCTCTTCAGCTTTTACTTCATCACATATAAAATATGGATATGTAAAAATATGTGTCAACCCAGAATGCCATGGCAATTCAAGGAGAGAAATGCACCAAGAAAAAAGCATCAAGACACTGCCTAGAATGTACCAGTTGATGGAAGGTTGCCTAAGAGTCCCTCCACTGACAGGAAAAGACTCATACTATACTGAATCCTCTCTTTTTAGGCTTCACCATTCTTACAACTACAGTACCTATATAATCCTCCCATTCTTCTGAAGAAGAACTGTATTTTTAATTTTCCAACTCCAAATTCTGAAATATATAGTTCGTTTTTCCTTGATTTACTAAATCACCTCAATATTCGAATAAATTCAACACTCATGTTGAGTCATCTGATGCTTGAAGCTGAAAGACTCCTGACAACAAAACTCTGGTTCATCAAACACTAAGAACTTCCTTCTCCATTACATCTTCCCAGTAGCAAAACCATATAGTGGACATTGAATGAACTGCCTGATTGCTGTGTCGGTGTTTAGTACCAAGTATTCATATTCATTGGCAATGTAAACATGTGAAGGGCCTCTGAAGGGAAATTTATCAATATGCTTCAAAATGAACATAACTTATGTCAATTCCTGTATTTTCAGTTTAAGGAAAAACTAGCAAAATCTATAGTTGGCCCTAAAAACATCTATTTTCCCCTTTTTCTATGGTAATAGAAATTTTAGCAAAGCACGTGGCTGCTGAGAATAAAAACTGCATTTCCCAGGCTACACTGCAGCTAAATGTGACCCTATGACTGTATTCAAACAAAAGGGCATGGATGTGCCACACGCATGTTCTAAGAATCATCCTCACAGAGGCAGCCAGATGTTTGCCTCCTCATCCCCATCTCCATCCTGCCCCCAAGGAAAGTGGACACTGACTTAGATGAGGAGGAAGGAGGCCACACACTAGGAATGGCTAAGTCATGAGCTGGGAGGGAAATAACCTATGAAGACACTGGGGAGCAGAACTACCATAACCACCTCCATCTCCAAAACTCCATACTTAAACAAAATATAAGCCATATGGATTATTGAGTTACTAGTGTTTTAGTGAGCTTTCCCATTGCTACAACTAAAAGACCTGAAAAGAACAATTTTAGAAAAGGAAGAGTTCATTTGATGCATAGTTTCAGAACTCTCAGTTCATAGAAGGCTGGCTCCATTCCTCTTAGCTCAAGGTGAGGCAGAACATCATGGTGGAAGAGTGTGGTGTGTGGTGGAGGAAAGCAGCTCAGGGCATGACAATCAGGAAGCAGAGTGTTTTAGTCAGCATCGCTGCTGTGACTAAAAGGTCCCACCCAGAACAACTGTAGAGGAGGAAACATTTATTTAGGGGCTCACAGTTTCAGAGGTCTCAATCCACAGACAACAGGCTCCATTCCTCAGGGCTCCCAGTGAGGCAAGACATCATGGTGGAAGAGTGTAGCAGAGGGAAGCAGCTCACATGATGATCAGAAAGCTGAGAAAGGTCTCCACTTCCCAGATAGAAATATATACCCCAAAGCCATGCCCCCAATTCCCACCTCCTCCAGTCACACCCCACCACTTCAGTTACCACTCAATTAATCCCCATCAGAGGGTTAATTCACTGATTGGGTTAAGACTCTCACAACCCAAACATTTCTCCTCTGAACCTTCTTGCATTGTCTCAGACGTGAGTTTTGGGGGGACACCTCACATCCAAACCATAACTACAAAGTTCAGCATTGCTCACCAGAGACAAAATATAAACCCCAAAGGCATGCCCCCCAATGACCTACCACTCAGCCATACCCTATCTGCCTACAGATACCACCCAGTTAATCCTTATCAGTGGATTAATGCACTGATTAAGTTAAGGTTCTCATAACCAACCCAATCATTTCACCTCCAAATTTTCTTGCATTGTCTCACACATGCACTTTTGGGGACAACACATATCTAAACCATAACAGGCAGTGTTATTTGGGGTTTTCCAGATGCTCGTATCTTAACTTCTCCTCACTAATATATCAACTTTGTGAAATACAAGTGGTTTCTATTTCTTTATGCTTCTGTAGATTCTAATTTTTCTATAATTGGATATGTATTGTTTTTACCTCTTAAAGATGTGAACACTAAAAGAATATCATTTCCTTTTATTTTGTATTCCAGTAAAAACCACTGGTAGGTAATACAAAAATCATATTATCTATTCAGGTGTTCGTTCAGAGCTTCTATTACATTGTCTTTATATTCTGTAATATGTCTTTGTATGTCCTAGCATTATTGAGGGCTCTGAGAGGATAGAAGCCAGATTCAGGAAAATTAATGTTTCAATATACATTTAGTGAACACCACATGTTCCAGGCATAGTACTGGATGCAGAAGAAATGGAGTTAAAACTCACAGTCACTGGCCCTATGTGGAAGGAGAAAAATAACATTTAAATCCAGTGTTGTAATTGCTTAAATATTTAAATTATGATAGCAAAGCACCTAACACGGAGAGGCTTCCCAGAAAAGGCAATAATCTTTACCACAACTAGTATTATATTAGGGGGGCTATGGCTGTAGCTCAGTGGTAGAGCACCTGCCTCACACCTGTGAGGCACTGGGTTTGATCCGCAGCACCAAATAAAATAAAGGCATTCTGTCCACCTACAACTACAAAAAAAATTTTTTAAATGGCTTTGAGGGTTTCCCTGTGAAAGTATGATATTAGGACAGTTGCCAATATACCCAGTGTTGTGCTGCCATTAGCTCATGATAGCTAAATGTTAAATTTTCAGGAATTTTGCAAGCTGAATTTCAATCCAGCCATTACTAAAAATTAATCAAATTGATTTTTTTACTTAATAAATTATTTTTAAAGAAAGCCAGCAAATACTCAAAAATCATCACTCCCTAATTATCTTATTATCTATGCTCTTGAGTTTATTTATGTATTATATCTACATGATGAAAATAGTATATAAGGATATGCTATTGTGCATCTCTTCCTAACTCTTTGTTCAATGATACTATGTTAGTAGTTTGAAATTTGCCATAGTAGTATTTATAGTACAGAAATCAGTACATGGTATGTTTCTTTTTCCCCAGAGAATTGGTTGTTAAACATTTACTGACATACCCTGGAATGTATCTCTTATTCAGTATTTAATAAATTGTTTTTTATGATGATAGCCAGGAAAATCCTGATTAAATCTGTGAATGAGGGACTGGGGTTGTGGCTCAGCAGTAGAGCGCTTGCCTAGCACAGGCAAGGCCCTGGGTTCCATCCTCAGCACTGCATAAAAATTAATTGATTAATTAATTAAAGATATTGTGTCCAACTGCAACTAAAAAATAAATACTAAAAAAAATCTGTGAATGAGTACATTTGTATACTAATCTGCTTTTGTCACTTCTTCCTGTACCAACCAACTTTAGTTCTATTTCCTTCTCCATTTCTCAGACACCCACTGTCTTAGGTACCTTTCATTCTTCTTACTGTGCTTAGGAAGAAAGTGGATATGCACATAGCAATCTGTCCACTATGGAACACTGAGCACTTTCTCTAGCATATCTTCCCAGTAGAAATTTTAAAACCATGAAGTAGATACTGCATTAATACTTTATAAACAAATGGCATAAAACTTTTGCATCTAAAGAACACATATCACTTTCTTATAATTTAGTTTTATCTTTATGAC